GCCTGATGGTATAATCAGGCAGCAAGATGTTGACCTCAGGTTGGCAGTTATAATTTGTTGCTATGAACTCCCAAGCCATATTTTTCTCCATTGCTGAAGTGGAAAACAGTTTGTCCTTTTGTTCTCTACCACAGCGTTTTCTGTTACCAGCTGAATTAGGAGAACTTTTTCCTTTGTTGAGTAAGGTGCATATTTACTGCTATTTCCACTCATCTAAAATTTACATAACCAATTTATTTAGCGTACGGCTTACACATGCAATATAATTATAATGATTGTAACGCATTACATACATATAAATATATCCAAAAACAAATATACATAAGCATATATTTTGAACATCAAAAATTATGCCTCAGACACAGTAACAAAATAGAAATTAATTCTTTAGAATAAATATTTTTTATAACATATTACATACCTTAAAATAGTTAATATCCAGTATTAATTTCAAACACAAAATATTAATATCAAACACAAAATTTCAGTAAGTAGCATAAACTAAATTTGGCGCTAAAAGTTTATTATATGGCGCACAATTATGAGAAAATTGACAGAATCTTCTTTTTTTCGATGTTTATTCGTAATTTACTTTTACCGTACTAATTTTTTCTTGCTTGAGATCAAACTTGTACGAGAATACCCGAAGTATCGTTTATAGAACACAACAAATACTTGAGCATGACTTTGACGTAAGTTCGACTTGGCCAAGCACGTTCTCGAGCACGATCTTGAGTACCGACTATAAATACGGGGCTAAGTACCAACGCCCTTATTTCGTACACATGTGTTCGTCTCCGTTGTTTTGCCAAAATCTACGAGATATTATAATTCTGTGTAAAAACTCTTCTGAATTTGTCAGAAGAAACAACTAGTAGATTTTTATTTTGTCAATTTTCTTTGTACCTTTCATATAGTATTTAATATTATACTTCAGATTCATATATTCTTTAAGTTTTTATTGCGAAATGTAATCACGATTACATTTTTCTTATAATACTTATCATGTTAACGCCCATGAAAGATTGAGCAGCGCCGTACGAGTGTCGTAATTTTTGCTGTGTTAGCGACATTTGAACTCTAAGGTTAATGTTATAGAAATTTAATTTATTTATTTATTTATTTAATTAACAGATATACCATTTTTACAGAAATATGCCGTCAACCTTTACAAACCTTATATATAGCTTGCGTTAATAAAAAACAAACCAAAATTAAAATCAAACAAAATTCAATTAAAGTAGTAGCTTAAGTTATTAAATAATGCTCAAAATCTCTCAAATGATTTCTTAAATGTTGCTGTAGATAATCCAAATAACTCTAAACTATTGCTATGCTCATTGGCAATTCGTAAAATTCTTGTAATGGGTTCATTTTGGCCATAATTCGTAGTGTGGAATTGAATGTTGAAAATCTCAGTGTTACGAGTTCTTCTAGTATTAACATTACCTAGTATTAATAATTTATTAAACTTAGTAACTCTGGATCTTGAACATTTCCATTTATAATTTTAAAAAGGAAACATAAATCCGCTTGACATCTTCTATCATGTAGTGATGAGATATTTAGTATTGACAGTATATAATATGTGTATTGATGTCTAATAAAATCAATTTTTTGAACCAATATATTTTGAACTCTCTCAATATTGTAGATGTCACTGTTATATGAAGGAGACCAAATGAGAGAACCATACTCCAAAACTGATCGAACTAAACTACAGTATAACATTTTTAAAGTTTGTACTGAAAACTGATTACAGTTTCTAAGAATAAATACGAACATTTTTAAAGCTTTAGCTGAAGTTTCGTTAAAGTGTTATTTAAAAGTTAGTTTAGAATCAAAATGTATACCTAAATCTTTAATATTATGACGTGCCTCTAAAGGTACATTATTTATACAATAATCATAATTTACAAACTCTCCTGTTCTTCCAAAAGTAATTTTAAAACATTTTTGTATATTTAAGTATAGCATGTTTACCTCACACCAACTAGCTAAGCTTTTATTGCCATTCTGTAACAAAGAGGCATCAACTAGGTCATTAACTATTCGAAATATTTTAAGGTCATCAGCAAACATTACAAATTTACTATTTTTAATCACTGAGGATATATCATTAACAAATATATTAAATAAGAGAGGTCCAATATGAGACCCCAGAGGAACTCCTGAGGTTACGGATACTCGTTGAGATAAACAATTTCCATATTTAGCATACTGACATTCACCAGATATATAACTACCTATCCACTCAATTATTTTACCTGCAAATCCATAGCCATTTAATTTAGCAATAAGCAGATCATGGTTAACTATATCGAAGGCTTTTGAGAAGTATGTGTAGATAACGTCAACCTGACCCTTCTGTTCCACTGAATTAGCTATAAAATTCGTATACAGTATTAAGTTCGTGCATGTAGACTTACCTTTCGAAAAGCCATGTTGTCTAACATCAATTAAATATTTACAATTCCATGTCAAAAAGTTATTTACAAGACACTCAATAAGTTTGGGTAATACAGATTGGTTACAAACCGCTCGATAATTTTCAACATCATTTTTATTACCAGATTTGAAAATTGGTGTTAAATAACTAGTCTTCCAAACATCAGGAAATATGCCGGTACTCAATGAGAAATTAAATAAGTAGCAGATAGGTTTTACAAGAGTAAAAATGCAATGCTTGAGAACATAAGCTGGCAAACAATCTGGTCCAAGCGATAATTTCCAAGGCATCTTTAAAACACTATCAATTATGTCAGAGACCTCAGTACTATAATTATTCACATTTACACTCTGCTAATAGTTAAAAATTGGGGTCTGATTAATTTTAGAATTAGAATATGTAGTTGACAAAAACTTACCAAATATATTAACTACGTCTTGAGCATTATCACTTGTACTATCACCGTAGAACATATTAGATGGCAGATTATAAGTTTTACGTTTATTATTGATATACTTCCAAAAATGTCGAGGATTAGATAGAATCCCATTCTCCCATTCCATCCATTCCCATCCCATTCTCAATAATATTCAAATAGTTACTATAACATTGAAAGGAGACTTGTTTACATTCATTTCTTAACTGAGAAAATCTTAAATAATCATCCCTTCTACCAAATAATTTATACTGCTTATGTATTTTCTTTTTTAAATATATCAACTTCCTTAACTTCCTTAATTTACCATTAAACCAAATCGGAAACGAACTTGTTTTAAATTTTTTGATCGGAACAAAGAAGTAAAAACCTATAAACATAAAATCATAAAATACTTCTTCTTTTTCTTCTTCGTCTAGCCATTCACGTCCACATCTGAACATAAGCCTCTTCAAGTCTTCCTTTCCATTGTTTTTTATTGTACGCTACTTGTAGCCAATTTTTCCCGGCAGTCCTTTTCAGATCATCTGTCCATCTCATAGGAGGCCTGCCTCTGGGTCTTTTGTGTTGGTATGGTCTCCAGGTTAAAATTGATCTGTGCCATTTGTTTAGATCGCTCCTAGCTACATGTCCAGCGTATTCCCATTTCAACTTTAATGATTTTTGCACCACATCGGTGACTTTGGTTTTCTGTCTTATCCATGTGTTTGTTTTCTTGTCCTTAAGTGATATACCTTAATATACTGCTAAGCTGTAATTCACATCATCTGATAAAAGTAAGTCCCAATTTAAATTTGCAAAATAATCATTTAAACCAATGTAATTTGCATTTTTAAAATCATAATAAAATTCCTCGAAGTTCAGTTGATCATGCTTTTCAAAATCAGTTAATTCTACAATTATAGGTGAATGGTGGATACTATTATCAAATAGTGAATCAAGTGGAATAACTACATCAACATTATTTAAATTAGTAAATACTTAATTTAGAAAGACATTACGACTATTAGGTAAATTGTTTATTTGAAACATATTAAAATAACCAAAAGAAATAGCCAAATACACAGCAGGATAGTCTTCAGTGCATTCAACATTTAATCCAAAGTTGTCATTACTAAAGGAAGCATTTGGCAAATTATAATCACCACACAGTAACAAGTTTTCACACTTCTCCATCACATATTCAACTGAACTGCAGTGCAACATATACATTTAGGTCGGATGCAGGAGGGATATAAACTCCACCCAAAACTATGCACTTATTATTAACTTTCAGTGATACAAAAATTTGTTTTACTTCACAATCGGGGATTATCACTTTCTGCGCACTTATGTCATTTTTAACAGCAATCAGCACATCTCCACCCCTAGTTTTTCCTGTATAAGTAGGATTACGATAATTTCTAAACACGTTATAACCAATAAGTCCTAATTCTGGCAATTTCCAGAGACTTTAGTTTTGTTCTTAATCCACCAACATTTTGATAATAAATTGATAACGGGGGTGCGCTTATATGTTTCGTTGTGTCTAGTTTTTTTGTGTATAATTATCATTTTTGCAAATTTCAGGTATACCTTTAATATATCGTATAAATAAATCTTTCTCACCTTGCTCTTGGTGTTTTTTGAGGTCCTCTTTGACTTCATTGAGTTTGTTGAGTTGTTGGGGGGTTAAATCAGAATTTATAAATATCTTTCTTGCTTTGGCAACGTGAATCTTATTTTTTTAAATATTCTTTACATCAAAAGTATTTATTAATACAATTTTTAGGGAATGAGCACCATTTTTGTTTTTCTTACCAAATCTAACAGCTTTGACAACTTTAATATCCTCTTGAGTAATATCTTTGAAAATTGAGGTCACAGTAGCCAAATGTTCAGAAGCGACTTAAATACAAGTGGCTTGAGTTTGTATAAATCGTGACTTGACATGATTTTAGTGTGAAAAATACTATACTCCGATAGCTTAACATCGAATCACGTATCTACTAATTAAAAGAAAAATAATATTTTCATGACTTTGAAGTAATAATGCACCAGGAATATTTATAATTAACTTATTTAAATTATATTTATTATTTTCAGGGTATCGTGGGGGCCTAGGCGTGAGGAGACATGTCCGTCGCCTCTGACTCATTCTCTGAGGAGGAGCGCAGCTTATTCCGTCCATTCACACGCGAGTCACTTGCAGTTATCGAGACAAGAATTGCAGAAGAATATGCCAAACAGAAGGAACTCGAAAAGAAAAGAGCTGAGGGAGAGGTACGCTATTAAATAAGCTTAAAATAAAATAAATTACATTCTGATTTCTTTCCTACTTTGTAGAAAATTTTATTTGATCTATCTTAACTTTATTTGCCAGTTGATTCAATTGAAGCAATAGATGTATTGATCAAACAAGATTTTCTTAATTATTGTCCTTCCACTCTACATATGTATACAGTGTAAATGTTTACGGACTCTCATTTATCACTATCTAATGTCCTAAACTCTCCCACTGTATATAGTCATTCCACCACCAAAATGAAACATGTAAAAAATGACGTCATCCTTCTTGTTAGTTATTGTGTGAAAAGTGAACATGTCGTGTAGATATCATTGTAGTTACCTATATAACCATGATGTTACAATTTCTAAACCAATGCATTCGTTAATAAAATAATAGCTCTTTAAAACAAACTTGAAATATTCTGAAAAATCTACCTACCCTATGATACTCAGGATATTTCAAGATATTAAGTACCTGGTCAAAGTACTAGCATAAAGATTTAAGTGGTTTTTTAAAGATTTATTACAAATGTCACTATATATTCAATTTTCCCGTTTTACATAATCAGTGATTTAGTATCTCCATTCAATAAACACTCTCCGCCATTCTTGCCTTTTTTTTTAATTTCCAAACATAAATGCATATGCTTCTTATTTGATTTCTTTTTATTCTCCGAGCAGTTTATACCCAACTAAAAATAATAAGAGGTATAAGAGATCAGTTGACAAGAAAGCTGCAAGCTTTTTCTGTTACATTTGTCATTCTATGCAATTATTTCTTTATCTATCATAATTTGACCTTTGCGAATTCAGCAAATCTTTATTTTAGCCTCGAACGTTACTGTTCAGACTCCCTACTTTACTTTAATGGTCTTAGTATATTGCATTAATTTAAAAGATAGATTTATTGTGTTGTACAGGGTGAGCCATGAGTAAGTGTAGGTACTTACTCCTACCTCGTATGACCCTTTGGGGAATAACAAATGGCTATTAAAATGTATCTGCTCTTATTGTTTAATAATATACAGGACGAAATTTAAATATTTCCTTAAATTTTTATTCGTCATAACTTTTAAACGGTGAGTTTGATGTCTCATATTTTGATCACACGTTACACTTCTACTACCTAACCAACAGATTTACCTATTCAAATTAGAAAAAAATAAGGTCCAGTTTAAAAAAAAAATAGTTTTATTTATAGAAAAAATTTTACCCTGTATATAGTTTTGGAAAACTTTAATATGAATTTTATAAATAAGATAAACAGGCAATTGAAATGGCGTATTTATTTTTTCCTTATTTTTTAATTTAAAAATATTTTACTATGAATTGAAAGTTTGGCAAAGTAAACCATATATTTAAAAAGAAGGAACTTATCTTGCAGGAATCAAAACTTTTTAAACAAATATTTAATTTGTAAGTATTAATACTATCACAGCCCGTGCTATACATTTTAAATAATTCTAGTCTTTTAGCCAATTTCCAAAATTTCTAAAGGAACAAGTTGTTTTTTCAATAATACTAACACAGCGCCTTGTATAATATTTGTTTAGGGATTCATTGGTACTGTCGTTTTATTTATTAAAAATTTAATAAAGTTAAATTATTTTTAAATTAACGAAAAGAAATTAACGCACCACTTTAATAAATCAATTTTATTTGTAAACAGGCAAAGAATAAAAAATAAAACTTCACCAGATTCATTCTACATTTTATTAGTAATTATAACAATTTGTCTAATCATCATAAAATGTTGAAGTACAAAAGAAAAAAAAATAAAACGGAAAATTCCTAAAACATAGTGATAAGAAAAGTGAACTAAAATATGAAAAAAGTCTTAATAACGCGTTGTTTCCACCTCTACTAAGTATAACAGCCTCACAGCTTTGGCCCATACTTAAATTGTCATATTACTTTTTCGTCTAGTTCTCTCCAAATCTGGATCAGCCTTCTCCCACTTCCTGTAAGTTGTTTGGTTGGATCAGTTTCGCTCTTAATCCCCTACCAAGGATATCCCCGAAATTTTCAATCGGATTTAAATCCGGACTATGTGCTGGCCATTCCATAGTGTTAATTTCTATCTCTTCTAGATAATTTCTGACGATCTATGCAGCGTGAGGTCTGGCATTATCTTGCATTAGTAAAAATTTTCACCGATATAAGGAGCGAATGGTATTACATGTTCTCCAGGATCACTATATGTATGACCACTACCGTACGTGCAGTCAATACCACCCCACACCATAACGGTTCCTCCACCAAAAAATGTGGTGTGTGAGAAGTTACACTAAGCATATCGTTCGTTGGGTCGTCGCAATACACGAACACGAATTTCGTTATTGTACAAACAAAATCGGGATTCATCAGTAAATAGCACTTGTTCCCAGTCAGCCTCTCACCAATTAACGTGTTCTCTGGCAAAATGTAGTCTTCCCCTTCGATGCTCTACAGTTAATAGAGGACCTCGGGCGGCAATCCTAGGTGTTAAGTTGTCGGTGTTCCCTAAGTCGCTGGCAAACAGTTTCAGTAATAATTTGTATAGCACGCACGTCTCGAAGCTGAATTTGTAGACTTCGATGTGTTACAAAACGTTGTCGAAGAGCAGAAATTCTGAAAAATCGATGTTCAATAGGGGTAGTTTCCCCGGTTTCGTCCTTGCCCTGGTTTGCGAGTATGATCCCCCCTTTCGAGGAATCTTTCTAACACCCGTAAAACGGATGGGTGGGAAATATTAAACCGATGACCAATTCTTCGGTAACTCCAACCTTTTTCGACAGTATCACTGCTTGGGCACACTCATCTCGGGTTAAATAACGTTATTGATGCTCCATAATAAACATAATTGACAATAATTAACAAAAATTAAGAATAGAAGAGAGTTGTGTACAATTACATAAAAGAATTTAATAAACAAATAAAACGAATAGAACCTAAATAAAACCAAGGTAAAACGAAATCCACATGTTTTTATACATAGTCTTTATCAGACCATCAAATGTCCAGTTGATCTCCTGAGAGTTAAGGGATCATTTCTAATAATCTAGCAAAAATCAATAATTTTGTCAATTCGTTATTGTCCTGTTTATATATATATTCTCGAAAAACCAATTCTTTTAATTGACCCCATATAGAATAGTCGACAGGATTAAAATCAGGTGATCTAGGTGTTCCCTCGTCCTATCCACCTATTTACATAAAGCAACTGAGAAATGTGGTGATGCACCATCGTGCATAAAGTACATACCTCGGTGGCTACATTGACTTATAGATTCGGTAAAAGCTCTGTCAGCACATGTCAACGGTTCATTAAAGAAATGGGAATCCATCAGTTGTCTGTATATTACTCCTATCCAAACATTCATTGAAAATCTACTGCAAACGAGATTTGCGAATCGTATATGGGGATTTTCGTTTGCCCAAATGTGTGACTTGTCCGAGTTATTTGTTCACTTTTGCAAGAAGAGTAACATTGTTTAAATCTGATATTCACTTTGTCAAATTTTTAATTCACACTAATTTTTTAATTAAAAATTCAGTAATCGTTGGGAGAAGAAATAAATATAGCATTTTAATTTTCTATGTGTATCATTTGTAAAATTCCTATTAGAGTTTTGCTGTATATAGGGTGAAATTGTTTCTATGAACCAAATAAACTAATTTTTTAAAACCGGACCCGATTTTTTTCTAGTTTGAATAAATCAGTTCATTGTAGTAACATTAGTAGTTTGACCAAAATATCAGGCACATTGAACTTACCGTTCGAAGTTATCTTGCATAGAAATTTCAGTAAATTCACTACTCGTCCTGTATATTTCTATACATACTAGTCTCAGACTACTCGTCTGAGAGCAGACATTTTTAATGGTCATTTTTTATTAATCATACGAGGTGGGGGAGTATGTACAGTTCTTTATGACTGACCTGTATATTATGTACATATGAACATATTTAAATATGTTTGTATGTACACTGAAAACAATATCTTAGTAATAAGCTGTTTAAGAGATTCAATAATATTCAGCTCAGGGTAGCGCTATTGTTAGAAGTGTAGAATTACATAAACATAAACAAAGGATCATTAAAAAAACAAGTAGATCCCCGTTTATGGAATTTCTCACCTCGGGACAATGGCATCCTGGTGACCTGACTATTCATGAATCTCATATAGCTTATTAGATTATAGCAATAATTACACTACTGTCCCATACTATAAATTAAAGATACTACCGTTAAATACATTTTTAAAATTTCCAAAAATAGCTAATTTAAAAACTATACTGTATAATTTATCACTGTATCGGCTAGAAATTGCAACTGTATTCATGAGTAGATCAAAATATTTGCCTTCTCTATATGTGCATAATTAAACCAGAGCAAGGAAAATTAAATGGTGCAATTTACAAAGCTTTGTACGTAAAGTATGTCATTGAAACTGTTAATTGTTGACTTAGTAGCTGATTGTACGTTAAATTTGTCCGCAGCAAAAGGATTTTTAAAATTGTTTATCATATATAAATATAATTAAAAAACATGCAAGATGGACAATATATAAACGTTAGTTTGTTGCATTCCCCTTTTTTTCTTTTGATAATATAGTTTTCTATATAGAGTTGTATCAGTTCTTCTTTGTTGCCTTGTTTATTGATGATCTCAAAAAAAGTTATTTGTCAAAATAGAAGGTAGGTTTTAAAATTGGTTAGAAATATGCATGGTCCTTTATAACACTGGACTGCATCAAATATGTCTTTTTTTTTTAATAAAAACTTTGTATTTTATTTTAAATTTTAATTTTGCTTAGCTTCCTCGTTATAAGAATACAAAGTTGATTTTATGTTATACAAGGTATTGAAAAAGTTATAGCCTAATTTCAATGAAAATAGTAATAAGTTCAACTATCTGTAAAATTGAAAATGGGTATAAACTTAATCACCAGTTGTAGCCATACGTTTAAATAATTAACAGAATTCATAAAAATAATTGATTTTCCTAATACT